ACCTCCAATCGCCTCAAAAGTTTGTGAAATGTCGACTAAAGTCTGTATTTTTAGGGGGAAATATAGATCCAACCATATATATACACTTACAGGAACATTTGTGGAACACGATGCCACCAACGTTTGAAAGACCAATAACTAAAATGTGTCATCTGCTGGATCCATTCAGTCTTTGTGATCTGATGGAAACTGTTCATTTCCTGTCTGTGAGAGTTTTATTTCTGGAGACACTGAACCCTGTTGCTTCATGGTTGTGTGTTACTGGTTTGTTCTGGGAATCTGAACCTGGCAGCAGATCTCAGCTTTGTGCTGCTACTGGTCGGGTGGAGGATCGCGCTCCACCGCCTCGCTCTGAGCATCGACCATGGGTCATCAAAGGTCATTAAAGGTCAGTGGTTGATGGCTGTGAGCAGCTCGTCTCTAACTGGGAACCAGCTGACTCCAGTTCAGCAGCTGCACATGACAGACACTGATCCTCCAGACAGACGTCTCATGTTCAACACTTAAAGACGTCACAGAAACCTGGTTGATGCTGTAAATGAAGAGCTGAGCACAAGTCAGTCAGCAGCAGAGTTAAAACTACATTCAAGCACAACAAAAAGATTTGAAGTGTAGTTTTTTTAACAATTCACTTTTATTTGACAAATTACTAACTTATAAGATCACAGAAGAAAGTATTAACTTACACGTTAACTGTTTTTAACAATGTCAGGCCTAAAAAATCTGCTTTTTTCTGTTTAAATTGGCTTATTTACAGTTATTTGAAAGACAAACTATGAATAGTTAGGATTGAAAACTCTAATTACATTTGCTAGTTTATGTTATTTTACAGATTTTTCCTGTTTCGTTTAAGTACAGATGACATTCAGTAAAATCCCAGAAAAAAAAACATACATTACAGGGATGCACCATATATCTGCGACCACATCGGTATCAGCCCATATTAGTTTTTTCATGTTCTCCCCGTGCAGCGTGGGTTCTCTCCGGGTTCTCCGGCTTCCTCCCACAATCCAGAAACATGCTGAGGTTAATTGGTGATTGTAAATTGTCCGTAGGTGTGAATGTGAGTGTGCTTGGTTGTCTGTCTCTAAGTGTAGCCCTGTGATAGACTGGTTACCTGTCCAGGTGAACCTGCCCTCACCAGCTCTGATAGACTCCGCCCCCTGTGATTCTAGTGAGGATTAAGGTGTCGAGATGATGGATGGATAACTATTTGTGATGGCCGTGCCCACAGCCACACAGAAGGCTGAAGAATCCACAGACACCGTCACCACATGTTCAGTTAAATCACACACACTAGATCTGATAAAAGCTGGTTCATGAACACTTTGACGACACTGTTTTCTAGCTGGAGGCACACGTTTAGTTCACATTGTTTTGCTGTTAATTCATTTCTCTTTCCTTTGAGCTACCTGGCTGCTGCTGCGTGACACTTCCTGGTTGGAGACCAACAGAAGATGTGTTCCATGTGGCCTCAGCTCTGTTCTCTGAGTTCATGTCCAGCTTTGTCAGTAGTTATATTGTGTTGATTTCAGTGCTGTCAGTTGTTCTTCTTTGTTTTTGGGGAGAAAATAAATCTGTCTTTTGTGAACTTTAAACCTGTGTTTTTGTGTTTAGTCCATGACACCATTTTACAGATATTTGCTCTTATTTTATTTCATTTTTACCTTTTTTTTTTTGAACAGGACTGTGTAAACTGTTTGCGGTTGTTGTTACGGCGTGAACAGCGTCACAGCTTGTGTCGGTGCTGATCCTGTTGCACCTCAGCTGAAGTGTGTTTCCACTGTTAAAACAACTTCATATTTTAAGTTTGTCGGACTTATAAAACACCTTTGAACTCATTGTTCAGCTGGAGTTCAGATCACGTTTCATTGCAGCAAAGGAACCTCATGATTCGCAGTCTATTGTCACATAAGATGACAAATCAGCACATCTTCACAGCTGACAAGTTCTAATTCAAGAATGTTGACGTTTTGCTCTATGAATGTCTGAAACAATGACTGGATTATTAAAACCGTGACAGCCGTTTACTGCAGGTGACTTCACCTGGCATTACTTGACTCTGTGCTACGTTAGCACTGCTGCTACCACGTATGTCATCTGTTGAGGCCTTTCGCTACCTCGTGTTCATGCAGCTCAGGTACAGCTGAGGAGATGTTGGCTTTTAGTTTTGGCTTTCTTTCAGTTTATTTCCTGGAAACTATCACAGCGATGTCCTGGTCTGAGAGTCACCAGGACCCATGATGGAGTTCATGGTCAACGGGTTAAGATCAGGTTAATATCAGGTTTGTGTCAGGTTAACATTAGCTCAACATCTTAGTGAGTTAGCTATATTAGTATGTTAGTTCAATATCAGGTTAACATTCGTTAATATTAGGTTTATGTCAGGTTAAGATCAGGTTAACACTGGATTAGAATCTGGTTGTTATCGGGTGATTATCGGGTTAAGATCGGGTGATTATCGGGTTAAACTGAGCTCAGAAGCCGCAGTAGCTGTGTGACGTCAGCTCGCTCGCTGCAGAAACTTTCCACATTAACTTTGCTCCTCGTGCAGAGAACAGGACGGACCGCGCCCTGGCCGCGTGACCGCGCACCTACGTTTAACCCCGACAGCAGGAGCGCGCGCTCACTGCGGGGCTCGACGTTCCCTCACCGCGTGCGCCGCACCGATTGGACACCGAAGCTGTCAGTCACGTGTGGCGCGCGCTGCTCCGACACTCGGGGGATTTATTTGTGGTACCGGGACACCGAAGCGGGGCGGTGCTACTCGCGGATAAGCCTGAAACCGTCCAGCGGCTCCGTCCGATCCTGGAATCGAACGCACCGTGAATGAGTCGGTCCATGACAGACCAGTCACAAACCGAACTCTGCCGCTCCGGCTGCTGATTGGCTGAAACGAGTGCCGATCTAATTCCTCTGCGTCGCTCATTGGCTCGCAGTGATTTCCCGCCTCCCACTGGCGTCTTATATAAAATTAATCCACGCGCCTCCATCTTTTTCGGTTCCTCGCGGCCCGCCGTGTCTCCTCGCCGGAAAACTCTCAGTCACCGTCTCCGCTGCAGCCGCTGAAATGTCCCGAGTCTTCTTCGACATCACCGCTGACGGCAGCCCGCTCGGCCGGGTCGTGATGGAGGTGAGTGGCCGCCCTGGGCAGCGGCAGCGAGGCCAGCGGGCCGGCTGATGGAGCAGTAGCCGGAGGGCGCGTTAACGGAGCGGGAGGAGCCGCGCTGCTCGGCGGCTGCTGCTCGGTTACCGTTCAGATGCTGAATGAACGACGGGACGCTGCAGGCAGCTCACCGGTCCGGCCCCGAGGTGACGGCGGGACCATGTGCACGTGTGTGTGGCTGGTCGCCCGCGCTGCCCGGGCTGCCGGAGGGGACGGCCCCGGAGGAAGCGGCTCCGGTAAACCGCGCTAATTACGCTGCTGCTGTCGGTGGTGAGGAAATTAGTCCAATTATAAGTTGGCTCCACCGGGGCAGGGTGTGCTCTAAATGATGAGCCGGTTCCTCGGTTCCGGTCCGGCTAGCTAACAGCTAAGCTAGCTAACGCCGTGCGCTCGCGCGCTTCTTTGTTGCAGCTCCGCGGCCTGCGGGCCTCCGCCGGTCCGGGGTTTGAGCCTCCGCCGGTCCGGGGTTTGGGCCTCCGCCGGTCCGGGGTTTGGGCCTCCTGTGGCCCCATTCAGACCAGCGGAACAAACACAGTTGGGCAGGGGAGCCGGCCCGGAGCACCGACTGCCGGGGCCGAGCGGTCCGTTCGCGGGCCGTTATGTAAGCCATGATGGCGGCCACAGGGGCTCCATTGTTACGCAGTTATTTATATCCGCCGCGCAGACAACTGCAAGCTAAAGGGCTAGCATGATGCTAACACGTCCAGCCATTTTGTGCTCCGCTGGGCGCTGAGCTGCGTGATGGGCGGAACCGAACATGACGGACTGCAGAGGAACCCAGTCGGTGCGTCCAAGAACATGTCGGGTCTCCAGAACCAGCACTGCCACGGTTCCATTAACGCCATTAGTCAGAATTTGACTCGTTGTTCCAGTTTCCGGTATCTGCAGTTTATTAAATGTTTAAAGTCCCTCCAGTGCAGCAGCGTGAACGTAAACGGACCGTCAGAACCTCACAGCTTTCATCTGCTTCACTGCTGGGCGGGTTCAGAGGCAGCTGGGCTCACAGGAGACTGATCATGAATAATGAGACGTTCAGGGCTCAGCCTTCTGGTGACAGACTGGTACCAGACCTCTAACTGGGCAGTGAGGTGTCTCCACAGTGCAGCCAGTTGGTGACTCAGGTGTAGCTTCAGCTGCAGACTGTCTGTTCAGTGTTAGTGCGCCTGGACCCGGAGAACCTGCAGCCCGGTGGTGTTCCAGGTAACCAGAGCTGCATTATGAAGCGGTGGATCGTGTTGCTGCTGCATGAAGCCACGCAGCAGCTGCAGACCCCCCACACACCCTCCCAGCATGCTTGCATGGCGGCGGCGCTGCTGTACAGCCATGCAGAGCTGCAGCGTGCTGCAGTGCCGCATTCCTGTCTCACCGTGACGTGACACATTCACACACAGCGACCTGATCTGTTCTCACTCTGCACCTTTCTGCTTTAACATGTAACACTGGTGTGAGCTCAGGTGTGCAGAGATTAGCGCGATAATCACAAACTAGTTTAATCACCAGCTGGTCTGAGTTCTGTCACTGCTGCCTCTTTACTGTGAATATTTCCTGGTTTCTTCTCCTGCCACTAAACCGAATGTGTGTTTGTTTCTTGGACTGTTTTGCTCACGTCCAAGAACCTTCAATGATCCAGATGGCCGGCCCCATGTAAGGGTAGCAGCTCACTGGTTAATTGTTGAGCTTCAGTGGTTCTGGTTTGGTTTCATATCAGTCCTGCCGTGTGCAGACAGACACTGACCTCCTGCAGTTGGAACTTTGTGCAGATTTCTGCTTTGTGTAGTTGTGCAACGGGTTGCTCCACACAGCAAAGTGCAGCGTATCTGATAAGGCGGCACTGGTTCTGGCTCGTTGCCCGAGTGGCAGCGAGCCAGACGTGAGTAAGTGAATAGATTTCACAACGTTGCTGCAGGCGATCACGTCTTCTGTCCACCATCTTGATGTCTCGCTCTCTGCTCTGTTTGTGCAGCTCTACCCCGACGTGGTGCCCAAGACGGCTGAAAACTTCCGTGCCCTCTGCACCGGCGAGAAGGGCTTCGGCTACAAGGGCTCCATCTTCCACCGCATCATCCCTGGATTCATGTGCCAGGTGAGGATGGGCTGCGTTTAGGAGCAGGATGGTTTGTTAAGCTCTATTTCAGCTTTTAGAGATCTGCAATCCAAGTGAGGGTGATTTTGTTAATGTGGTTTTTAAAATATTGCACACAGCCAATGGTGAAGTGTTTGTTTGTTTTCTTCCTCCATTGCTGACATTAGAGACGTAAGAATGTCTTTAATGGAAAATAATGAGGCTCCTTTCATTTTAAGATCACGATCAGAGTCTCTTCTGCTTCCGGCTGCACTGAATAATCAGTTTGTCAGGAGCTACTAGAGGAAGCTCCACCTGTTTCATCCGTCTGCATGACGTTAAAACGCTAAAAACAGTTTAAATCTTGTGACTGCAGCGTCTCCAGTGTCAATCTTTCCTGGTTTCTTTCCTCCTCTGACACTAAACTGAAGATCTCTGGACACAACTCTGGTTCACATTTTCCATAGTTTATTCTTTTTTTTTTAAGACCTTTTCAGAAAACATTCATCAGACTCATCACTGGTTAAAGCTGTAAGGGCTGAACAGTAACCGTAATATACTGTTGTGATGATTCTCTCCTCTGCACTCACTGCTGTCCTCGTGAGGTTAGGATCCATCCGTGTGGATCTTCTAACCGTAAACATCAGACTGAAGTGATAGCTTGTGGTCATGTTTGTTGGATAAATCAGTTGTTCAGCCCACTGCAGGATGTTTAAAGTTGACGTTCTCACTCTGACTCGGTTTGTAGGCTGGGTTGTGTGTGTGTGTGTCGTTAAAGTGTGTTTCCCCTCCTTTGAACCACGCAGGGCGGCGACTTCACCAACCACAACGGAACCGGGGGAAAGTCCATCTACGGCAACAAGTTCGCCGATGAGAACTTCCAGCTGAAGCACACCGGAGCCGGCATCCTGTCCATGGCCAACGCCGGCCCCAACACCAACGGATCCCAGTTCTTCATCTGCACAGACAAAACCGCATGGTACAGACACTCATGAGAGATCTGAGGTTAATTAGCAAGTCCTGCATCTCTGAGGGACCAGAACGACCATGAAGGAGGGAGAGCTCTGAGACATGACGATTACAGAATTATAGATGTTCCACCGTCAGCTGTAGAAAGATGTTCCACCGTCAGCTGTAGAAAGATGTTCCTCCATCAGATGTAGAAAGATGTTCCACCATCGGAAAGATGTTCCACCATCAGCTGTAGAAAGATGTTCCTCCATCAGATGTAGAAAGATGTTCCACCATCAGATGTAGAAAGATGTTCCACTGTCAGCTGTAGATGGATGTAGACAGATGTTTGGGCTCCTCGTGTGGACTCCAGTGAACCAGGTTTGTGAAGAGGCAGGCCTTGAGTTTGACGTCTGTTCTGTCTGCAGGCTGGACGGGAAGCACGTGGTGTTCGGTAAGGTGGTCGAGGGGATGAACGTGGTCACTAAGATGGAGGAAAGAGGCAGCCAGAGCGGCAAAACCAACGGCAAGATCGCCATCGCTGACTGCGGGCAGCTCTGAGCTCCACACCGACCCTTCCTGCTCACCCTGTAGCCACGCCCCCTGTAGGCTCCGCCCCTCCGCCGTTCAACATTCCTATTGATGGAGATTCAGCTGATTCCCCCCCCCCACCTCCCCCTTATTTTTTTATTCTGTTGTTGAAATCAAGTTGCTGCATTTGTGACTTTGCCTTTTGGAAGTTTCTTTTGCATTAACGTTTTTTCCACAAAAGCCCCGACGGTTTGTTTTTCTTTTTGTTAAGTCAAAAAAAAGAATAAGAAAATAAAACAAAAGATGCCTTGACAATTAATACGTGTCTGGGTTTTGTTGTTCCTGCAGACTTTGTTGAAACAACCTTCACTTTGCTCCGAAGCTTTCAGACTGAATCTTCTGCCTGCTTTTGGCTGCAGGGTCACCGTCGGTATTCTCTGGTTTCTTTCACTGACGGTAACCTGAGTGTCTTTGGCCAAAACTGATCCACGTCTTGGAGAAGCCAGCAACGTGTCAGTTTGTGGTTGCAGGGGATAAATGATCTGATCAATGTTGATGGAGCTGCAACTACTGTCAGCTGTTCATGACTGATTTAAGGAAAGAGATCAAGTCCAAACCGTGTTAAAGTTCAGTTAAAGATGGACTCCACTGATAAATTAACAGATTATAAATCACTTCAATGTGTTTCAAACTGACGGCAGGCTGCAGCAGTTTGTCTGATGACATGAGAAACTCTATGGAAGCAGTCTGACTGTTCACACGATGATCCATCCCATAATACTGATGCTACAGAGGACTTGAATTCAGGCGGTGACACCTGGATGGATGTAGAACTGATCTGGTGTCAGGTTCTACCAGAACTCAGATGTGTTCTTCCTCCTGCATGTCGTGTGTCTATCTGCTGAACTGATGAAGTTCTGAGGCTGCGGTAGATTTTGTATTTTTATCGTTCTCTGTCGAGTCCTTCTCTTGTGATTCTGAACCTCAGTTTGTTCTGCGCTGAACAAAGACCTGAAGGAATGGAAGTG